CCCCCCAATCATCCTGATTTAGTTAATTCCTTCAAAAACATTGGTAATGAACATTACAACATAGGTGATTATCCGAAAGCATTTACATCTTATGAAAAAGTCCTTGAAATTCAACAACAATTATTATCTCCCGATAATCCTGATTTGGCTATTTCCTACAGCAACATTGGCACTGTGTATATCAAGATGGGTAATTATCCAAAAGCACTTTCGTCTTATGAAAAAGCCTTTGAAATTCAACAACAATCACTTCCTTCCAATCATCCTTATTTGGCTACTTCCTGCAACAACATTGGTGAAGTGCATAGAAACCTGGGTAATTATCCAAACGCACTCACATTTCATGAAAAAGCCCTTGAAATTCAACAACAATCACTTCCTCCGAATCATTCTTATTTGGCTCAGTCCTACAACAACATTGGTTTAGTACATCACAAGATGGGTAATTATTTAGAAGCACTTTCTTATTATGAGAAAACGCTTGAAATTCAACAACAATCACTTTCTGACAATCATCCTGATTTAGCTATGTCCTACATCTCTATTGGTTTAGTGTATAAAAACATAGGTAATTATCCAGAAGCACTTTCTTATTATGAAAAAACTCTTGAAATTCAACAACTATTACTTCCTCCCGATCATCCTGATTTGGCTACTTCCTACAACAACATTGGTAATGTGCATACCAAAACGGGTAATTATCTGAAAGCACTTTTATATCTCGAAAAAACTCTTGAAATTCAACAACTGTTACTTCCTCACAATCATCCTGATTTGGCGTCTTGCTACATCTCCATTGGTGTAGCGCATTCCAGTACGGGCGATTATCCGAAAGCATTTTCTTATTATGAAAAAGCCCTCGAGATTCAACAACAATCACTTTCTCACAATCATCCCGATTTGTCTATGTCCTACGGTAATATTGGTAATGTGCATACTAAAATGCGTAATTACTCAAAAGCACTTTCATCTTATGAAAAAGTCCTTAAAATTCAACAACAATCATTTCCTTCCAATCATCCTCATTTAGCTATTTCCTACAACAATATTGGTATTGTGCATTACCGTATGGGTGATTACTCAAAAGCCCGTACAAGTATTGAACATGCTATACAGATTGGACAACAATCATTACCTTCGAATCACCCAGATCTTCAACAGTGGAGAAATAACCTTGAACGTGTAAAAAATAAACAATAAACTGTATTGCTATGAGTTTTATTTTACGAAAGAGAAAAAATAAATTCTCTTTCTCATAGGGAAGAGTCCGCTAAATATAAATTGTCTGATTGCTTGCTTGATTGCGTCCGTAGGGTAAAAAAAACATCGAAGACCGATTTTCAGGAAAAAGACATTTCTTGAGGCATTTCAATGCTGAGACTTTGTTTGTTACAACGATAATCGACGATTCTGGTGTTATACTTATTTTTTTAACTTATAGAGAATATTCTGCAATTTAATGTTAGAAACGTAAATATATCCGCGAAGACCTTTCATACATGCATATATTATGTATGCGTATTGTCTTGTCGATCGGCTATGACCATTGCGTTTTCATTACTTACAGAGATATTCTCTGTACACGCGCGTGAGTAAGTAAAATAATACAGTTATTAATCTCTTGGATAGAGAAAACATTTATTTATTTATTCAGAAAAAAAATTATAATCTCTTTTTTACAATTTCAATCAACTGTTCCACAGCTTTAAGTTCAGGATGATTTGGTGGCAATGAAACTTTGCGAATGTCTAGACCACGTTCATAATATGAGAGTGCTTTCGTATATTCTTTCATGTTATAACATAGTATACCAATGTTGTTGTAAAAAGTAGCCAAGTCAGGATGATTTACAGGAAGATTTTTTTCTTCGATTGCAAGTGCTTTTTCGTTAGATGAAAGTGCTTTGGTGTATTCTCCTAGCTCATTATACAACAAACCAATGTTGTTGTAAGCAATAGCTAAATCAGGATGATTTACAGGAAGAGTTTTTTCTTCGATCTCAAGTGCTTTTTCGTAAAATGAAAGTGCATTCAAGTGGTCTCCCATGTTAGAATACACCGAACCAATGTTACCGTAGGAAATAGCCAACGAAGGATAATTTGCAGGAAGAGTGTTTTCTTTAATTTCCAGTGCTTTTTGGTGATATAAAAGTGCTTTCAGGTGCTCTCCCTTGTTACCATACACCAAACCAATATTGTTGTAGGAAGTAACCAAGCATGGATGATTTGTAGAACGCGTTTTTGACCAGATTTCAATTGCTTTTTCGCAAAATACAGATGCTTTCGAGTAGTCTCCCATGTTAGAATACATCGAGCCAATGTTAGTGTAGGTAATAGCTAAATCAGGATGATTTTCAGAAAGAGT